CTCTCTCTCTCTCTTTGAGATAGGGTCTCATTTTAGCCCTAGCTGCCTTCCAACTAGCAGCAGTCTTCTACCTCAGTCTCTGAAGTGCTGGTGTTAGAGGTGTAATTATGCCACACCCTGTTCCTGTTTTCATTTCTTTCTAAAAAACATTTGTTTATGTATTTAGTGTATGTGTGCACTTGCGCACGTAGGAGCTATGACGCTCTTTCTATCATGTGGGTCCCAGGAGTTGAGCTCAGGTCATCAGGCTTGATAGCAAGTACTTTTACCCACTGAACCATTTTGTTGCCCTACAGTTACTTTCTTGAAAAGAGTTTTCAGCTCTCATTTAGATTGAAATCTCGTGTAATTTACATCTACTTTGAAAATTAGTACCTGTCTTTTTGTTTTAAATCCACAGTACAGTCTTTTGGTTAGGCCTCTATAAGATCATTGCAACAGAGTCTTGTCCCCAGAATTGTTGATTGCTTCTAGAAAACGTTGAGAATTCCCTCAGTTGGGGCATAATAGAATTTGGAGGGCCAGTTTTGACCATTAAGCTTTGGTTTTGTCTACATCTCTTGTTTGTTTGTTTGTTTTGTTTTGTTTTATTTTTTGGTCTTTTTTTGAGACAGGGTCTCCCTGTAGCCCCAGCTATCCTGGAACTCACTATGTAGACCAGGCTGGCCTTGAACTCACAGAGATCCGCCTGCCTCTCCTCCTGAGTGCTGGGATTAAAGGCGTGCGCCACCACGCCCAGCTACATCTCTGTTTTAAGCCTTGCATGTTAGTGTGACGATTGTACAGTGATAGGCATAAAACTATTGGCTCAAAAAACAATCTATTTTGTTGGGCATGGTGGTGCATACTTTTAATCCCAACACTCAGGAGGCAGAGGCAGGTAGATCTCTGAATTCCAGGCTGGCTAGAGCGACATGTCGCAACATAAGTCACAACAACAGCAACAAACCTACTTTGACAAATTTGTGATACTTTAACTTTTTTTTCTTCTGCCTTTATTCTTACAATATTATCAATAAAACCCTTGCCAAGTTCTTTCTTCCATTAGGTAATATTACAGCCATAAGCTTGGAAACCAGGTGACAGGCTCAGAAACTGAAGAGTATAATAATGCTACTCATGTACTGGTTCACCATATTCAACTCAGGATCATGAATAATCACCTGTCTGAAAACAATTACATGATATAATAATGCTGGCATCAGACTGACTTTTGTTTTCTTTTTCACAGTGAAGCTATGTCCCTGGAGGGAGATGAGTGGGAGCTGAGTAAAGAAAATGTACAACCCTTAAGGCATGGGCGGATCATGTCTACACTTCAGGGAGCTTTGGCACAGCAGGAATCGGCCTGTAACACTACTCTTCAGCAACAGAAACGGTAGGCAGATTGGTTTCGGCTCAACTTGTTATTGTGCATCCTCAGCTGTGCTAGATAACACAGACGTAAATCTGTGCAGAATGCCATAGGAATATTCCTCAGTGATGGTATAAGAATCTCTTCCCTATCAGTTTCCTAATTAGAAGCCTTTTAATTGCATGACAGATATTTGAAGAGCCCCTCAAAACTGTCAAAGTCAAAGGCTAAAATTGGGCATCATGGGACAAGCCCTTCTTAATCTTAACACTCATGAAGTAGAGTCAGGGAGATTGCAAGTTACAGGCCAACCTAAGCTGTGTAGTGAGTTCCAGGCTCAAAAATAATTCATTAAAAAAATAAAGAACAAAGGCTAATAGAATTTTATTTGCTTGTAGAACAACAGCTTATAGAACAGTGAAATTCTTATCAATAAAATATTTTTAAAATTTTTATGTGTATGAGTCTATTGTATTATTCTTCTGACAGCCATAGTAACTTTTTCTTTTCTCCTTTTCTCTCTTGTTTTTAGATAGGTTCTCACTAAGTCAGAGATCCACCACAAGTGTTTTCCTCTATTGCTTTTTTTACCTTCTTTATTGAGACAGAGTCTCTTCACTGACCCTGTAACTGGCCAGTTCAACTAGACTAACTGGCCAGGTTGCTCCAGAGATCAATCTCATTTCCACTTCCCTAGTTCTGGGATTACAGACTTGTATGGCCATCTACAGCTTTTATGGGTAATCAGCAAGCACTTTACCCAGCAAGCTATCCCCCCAGCCCCTGAAATTTATCTTTCAAAATCTTTTTTTCAATGTATCTTTTAATTGAGTTTTTGTGCATTTCATGTAATAGATCTTAATCAAATTTAGATCCCCTCCTCCATCCGCACTCCCTTATTCCCTCCCACCCCCCAGATTTTATGCATTCTTTCACAAATGTTAAGGCCTATCTGGTCAAGCATTTGTGCCCATATGTCCCTTGGTACATGTTCATTCTTTGGAGTCAAGTCAGCCTCTCTAGAGTCACTCCCTTATAGATCTACTCTCTACCACCTCTCAGTAATCAGTTGCCAACATTTCCTCAGCTAAGGTTGGAGCCTGTTACCCATTTCCCCAGTTCTATCCTGGGTCTTTGTCAGATTGAGTCAGCATGGGTCTTGTGCACGCTATCACCTTTTTTGTAAGTTCATATGAGCAAGTTCCCAGAGACCTGAAAGCCTGTGTTTCCTTATGTTCATGCACTAACCCTGGCTCTTAGAATGTTCCTGCCTCTTCTTCTGCAATGGTCCCTGAGCCGTGGGTAGGTGAGGTTTAATATACGAGTCCTATCCAGGACTCTTTAAAACTTGGCCAGTTGTGGCCTTCTGTATGCATCGCATTCTGTTGTATGAGGCTACTTAGCTGGTAGGAAGTATCTCTCTACTCCCTGTCTGCTATGTTCCATGACCCCTAGGTGTAGAGGTTCCACTGTAGGTGTGTCACTTAGAGCTGGGCATCTGTACTAGAAATTACTGCTGGGAGGCGCACACATGGCTTCCTCCTCCCACTATCCTTATGATCAACCCACACAATATTCTTCCAAACTACAGTTTAGGGGATAAAGATATTTATTTGGGCTTACTAACAGTGTATATGATGATGAGGGGTACTTACAAAGGCATAGATACCCGTGGGCTTTTTCCCCTACATGTTGGCTGGGCCTTCCAGATCTGTGGCCACTGGCCCAAGATGGCCAAGCGCCTTCCTCCTGTCTTGCTTCCCAGGTGTCTCCCCTTAGTCCCTCCCCTTCATGCAGTTAAGGCTGATTGATTGGGTGGGAGGGGTGACTGTCTTCCTCTGCCCCTCCCTTCCTATGGAGAGCCTTAGGGTTCAAGTTTTAGGGTTCAACGAGTTTGCAGTGGTGGAGGTGGGGTTAGAGAAGATATCCTGTGTCATTTGGAGGACTCGCCTATCCAATAGCATCTCTAAGATAAACATAGCCTGTGTGTGACTAGTTGTAGAATTCTGTAATAGTTTTTATGTTACAAAAAGAAGCTTCTTTGTTGAGTGGTATACAGTATACTTGTCTGTAAATATAAGGATCCATATTTAGCATACAGTAAGAAATTTCATTTGTCTAGAGATATGACAGAGATAGTATTTTCTCTAGGATCTATTTAGTAGGACCTAAAATTGGTCTTAACATTATTTCTGTATATTTGTATATGTATGTAACTTGCTTGAAATGATGGTTACTTAAAAGTTATTTATTGAGAACTTAGTATGTCTTAACTGCCTTTAAGACAAACAAATCTAGGTCTAGAGAGATGGCTCAGTGATTAAGAGTGTATACTGCTCTCACAAAGGACCCGAGTTTGCTTCCTAGAATCCAGGGCTAGTGGATCTTGACAACCACCTGTAACTCCAGCTCCATGGAATCCAGTGCCTCTTCTGGCCTCTGTGGGTACCTGGACTCACATGCACATACCCATATAACAAACACATAATTAAAAATAAATCTTTTTTTTTTTTTTTTTTTAAAGATGAGCAAGCCTAATAAGTAATATTATGATCCCCATTTTATAGATGAGGAAACCAAACACAGAGAAGTAGTTATCCAGTGTCATTGAGCTAGTAATTGGTAGAGCTGGATTTGAATTTAGGAAGTCATGTTCCAGTGTTAGAATTTGCTGTGTTATATTGCCTTTTCAATGTTTTTATGTCTTAATGCATTTTTATGTTGCCTTTAAAATTATTTATTTATGGGAACTGGAGAGATGGTTCAGTGGTTAAGAGCACTGACTGCTCTTGCAGAGGACCTGGGTTCAATTCCCAGCACCACATGGTGGCTGACAGCTACCCATAACTCCAGTTCCAGGGGATCCGACTCCTTCTGACCTCCATGGGCATTCTACGACACAGGTGTACTTACACATATGTAGGCAATACACTCATATGCATAAAATAAAAAAGTAAAAAATTATTTATTCATTTTATTTATTTATATATTTTATGTGTATGAGTAGTTTGCCTGCATTTATATATGTGCCCCACATTCATGCAATGCCTGAGGCCATAAGAGGGCATTGGCTCCCCTGGAAGTGGAGTTACAGATGGCTGTTAGCTATCATGTGGGTGCTGGGAACTGAACCTGGGCCCTCTGCAAGAACATCCAGTGCCCTTAACCGTGGAGCCATCTCTCCAGCTTATTTTTATTTTTGATTATGTGCATGCATGACTGCAGGTGCCAGGGGAGACTAGATAGATCTCTTGGAGCTGGAGTTACAAGCAGTTGTGAGCTGCCTGATGTGGGTACTGGGAACCAAACAGGTTCTATTCAAGAAGAGTATATGCTTTTAACTACTTTTAACTCTAGCCCAAACAGTCTTCCATAATTGTTTTGTTTTATTTTTTGGTAATTTTTTACTCACTCTTTTCCTCCCTCCCTCCCTCCCTCCCCTTTTTGTTTGTGATTTTGGAGCTGGGGCCAAATCCAGGGCCTTGTTCTTGCCTAGAGTGCTCTGCCACCAAGCTAAACCCTCAACCTATTCTTTTTCTATTTAATAAATCCTCTAGATTGATATGAAGTACTTGATAAGTGAATAGAATGGAATTGACACCTGTTGACTGCACTCAGCACTGCATGTGCTAACATACTCTTGTTCTTTTTCAGGGCATTTGAATCTGAAATTCGCTTTTACGCTGGAAATGACCCTCTGGATGTTTGGGATAGGTGAGTGTTTTTATACAGAAAGCAAAGCAGAGGCATTAACAGATGAGTCTTTTTGGTCATTTGTCTTAAATTGAGGGACATGGAGTGATGTAACAGAGTAGAAGCGGGGTCTTGGTTGCAAAGATCCAGAATAATCATAGTGTGTCTTTCTAAGGTGTTTGTTTTGCAGTACCAAGGATAGAGCCAAGGATGTTGCATATGTTAAGCAGGTGCTGTACTGCTGAGTAAAACCCCCAGTTCCCCTGAGGTGTTTAAGAGTGAAAAATTTAGGGCGGACGCACGCACCTGTAATCCCAGCACTCGGAGACAGAAGCAGGTGGATCTCTGTAAGTTCCAGGCCATCCTGGTCTACAGAGTGAGTTCCAGGACAGCTGGGGCTACAGGGAGACCCTGTCCCCAAAAGACAATAAATAGATAAATTAATTAAATGAATAAATAAATAAATAAGTAAATAGTGAAAAATTTAGTATGAAGCATAGGTCTGAGCTGTACCTTTCTCTCCCTCTCTCCAGGGTTCCCCAGAGCAAATGTTACAAATACTTTAGAAAAGTTTGAGATACATGCTTAGGATGTATCATTAAAAACTTATAAAGAAATACGCTTTCAATATATTAAATATTTCTGCTTTGAAACCCCAAAATGGGCAGGGTATGGTGGTAATACCTTTAGTCCCAGTACTCTGGAGACAGAGGCAGGCAGATCTGTGAGTTCAAAGCCAGCCTGGTTTATATAGTGCATTCCAAGCCAGCCTGTTCTACATAGTGAGTTCCAGGCCAGCTGGAGCTACAGGGAGACCCTGTCTCAAAAAAAAAAAAAAAAAAAAAAAAAAATCCAGAATAGATCTTGTACCCAGAATAAAAGTACACACCAACTCAAAATATGTTGTTTTCCTTCTCTTCTCATTTAGGTATATTAAGTGGACAGAACAGAACTATCCTCAAGGGGGCAAGGAGAGCAACATGTCAACATTACTCGAAAGAGCTATAGAAGCTCTACAAGGAGAAAAACGTTATTATAGTGACCCTCGGTTTCTCAGTCTCTGGCTCAAATTGGTAAGTGGTATCTGAGTTTAAAATCTTAAATTGCTGACTGGACATGGTGGTGCACTTTTAATCCCAGCACTTGGGAGGCAGAGGCAGATAGATCTTTTGAATTTGAGGCCAGCCTGGTCTACATAGTGAGTTCTAGGATAGTTAGTACTACACCTGTCTCAAAACAAAAAAAATTAAATTGACTTTTTCTGTAAAGGTATCTGGTATACAGACAATAAGGAGCCGTTTAGTAGATAGTAATTACTTGATAAATATTTTGGGTTTGTTAAATTAGTTTGACTTAAATAGAGCATAATAAGGCTTTGCACCCTTTTAGCGTGTTATAAAGTCTGTATATTTCTAAATGAATATAGGCTTCTATTTGTTTATTTTAAACATAATTGAGGCATGTCTGTCCTGGAGGGAAGACATTAACAGGAAAAGCTTCCTTGGTGAGCCTGGCATTCCTTTCTCTCCTTTATGAGAATCATTACCATATAAAAGTAATGTTTTAGGGTTTTATTGGTCTTTGAACTTCTTTCACCAAGTATATTGCTATAGCCAAAAACATGTCCCTGATCACTTAGCACTTGACATGTAGTTCTTTTATATCTAGAATATACTTGAGAATCCTTTTTCATGAGCATGTTTTTAATAAAATAATGACCAAGGTCTCTCAGATACTTTGTTGCTTTTACCTTAAAAGAAAATATAAAAAGGAAGCAGTATTTAAAATTGTTCACAACCACAGTAACATAATAGTGATATTTGAACCTGATAAAAGTTATGACTAAAATATATCTTTCAGAGATTTATTTAAACTTTAAATAAGATGGGTGTGGTAGTATATACCTTTAGTCCCAACACTCAGGAGGCAGTGGCAGGCAGATCTCTGTGAGATCAAGGTCAGCCTGGTCTACATAGGGAGTTCCAGGACAGCTGGAGCTATAGGGAGAACTCTGTCTCAAAAATAAATAAATAAATCAGGTCTGGTGGCTCATCCCAGCACTCTAGAATGTTGAAGCAGGAGGGTCTCAAGTTTAGGCTAGTATGGGATGGGGGCGAGGGGAGAATGAGAATCTTTAAAAAAACAAAAACGATTAGAAGGACCAAGAGGGCCTTGCAAGATGGCTCATCAGGAGCACTTGCCTCCAAGTCTGATGACCTGAATTGGATTCCTAGAATCCACATGGTGAAAGGAGAGAACTGATTCCCACAAGTTGCCCTCTGATCGCCACATATGCATCTTGGTATGCATGAGCCCCCCCCCCCATGCACGATGATACATAGATGATGGATGGATGGATGGATGGATGGATGGATGGATGGATGGATGTGGATAGATAGATAGATAGATAGATAGATAGATAGATAGATAGATAGATAGATAGATGATAGATAGACTGACTTTTAAAAGCCAGTCAGAATAATTTCTATGTTCACTTATGTTATCTTGATGTTAGTAAAAGGGAAGAATGATATCTTGAAGTAAAAACCATAGCATAGGACTGGTACCTCAGTAGTGGAGCACTTGGCTAGTATGCATGAAATCCTAGGTTCAATCCTTAGCACTGAAAAATATATAGTCTATATCTACAGAAGAAATGATAAGCAGAATGATTAAGATGAATACCAAAATGAAGAGTAAACATGTGGACATTTGGTAGCCATTTGAGCTGGGCATGGTGGTGCAGCTTATGATGGGCAGGCATCGCTGAAGAGGCTGAGGCTGGAAGATCACAAGTTTGAGGCTAGTGTGGCTACGTACTGAGATCTCACATCATAAAACAAACCAAATAAACAGAGTTGACATTGACAGAATATCATGAAAGTGCACTTTCATGATTTTAATTCATGAAAAATATATGCTCATTATTTTAGTGACTTCTCTGTTTATTGTATTTTACAAAAATATCATAAAGCCAGGCCTGTTGGTGTAGGCCTGTAATTCTAGTTACTTGGGAGGTTGAGACAGATCACATGGGAAAGGCCTGTGTGCTGGATAGCTTTGGTTGTCAACTTGATGTACCTGGGTAGAGGGAGCCTCAACTGGGGAATTACCTCCATTGGACTGGCTTGTGGCCATGTCTGTGGGGCGTTTTCTTGCTTGTTGAGTAATATGAGAGGGCCCAGCCCATTGTGGGTGGTGCCACCCCTGGGCAGGTTGTTCTGTATTGTATAAGAAAGCAGGGTGAGCATGGAACAGGAACAAGCCAGTAAGAAGCATTCCTCCATGGCCTGTGCTTCAGCTCCTGCCCTCAGTTCCTACCTTGGTCTCTGTGATGAACTGTAACCGGGAGATGTAAGACATAATAAACCCTTTCCTCCCCACGTTGGTATTGGTCAGAGTGTTTTGTCACAGCAATGGAGACACAAACTAGAACAGCCTGCCTGGGCTATATAGCATATTGAAGGCCAACCTGGGGAACTTGGTAAGACCCTGTCTCAAAATAATAGAGGGCTGGGGATGTACTTGACTAGTAGAATGGTCACCTGCAGTGCAAGGTGATGGGTTCAATTTCTAGTAATGGGGAAAAAAAAAAAATCCACAATGAAGTAGAAACCTCCACACACATACACACCCCCAAAGTGCTCCTTTATCACAGATAATCTGTAGCATTGGTTTAGACTACCACCACAGTCAAATGTTCAGCCATAAAATGATCAGTAGTAATCTGAACTTTGTATTATACATGTAGCAACAAAGCGCATATTAAACTGCTTTGTTTTTTCTTTCTTTATGGGGAATGGTCAAGAGGTATAACAGGAATTATTCTTCACACTACTCTTTTTACAGAAAGATTTCTCCAGGTTTTTGTTTGTCTATTTGAGACAGGATCTCACTATGTAGCCCTGACTGACTTGGAACTGTAGATCATACTGGCCTCAAACTTACAGGAGACTCACTTGCCTCCCTCCCCCAGTGCTAGGATTAAAGGTGTGTCCTCACCATGTATGGCCTGCCAGTTTTTTTTTTTTAATAATTTATTGTATATTTCATACATGCATATAAAGTGTTTTGATTAGATCTGTGCCCACTCCCTCCCCTCCAACTCCTTTTATATCTCTCCATCACTTTTTTCTGATAACTTCATGTACTGTTTCTTCTTTTTTTTTTTAATGGAGCTTTTTGCTACTCTAACGCTCCCCCCTCTGAAGTGTAACCCTAAAATCTTTTAAGGATTAGATAAGCGCTCCCAAATACTTTTGACATTTTGTTTAGGAATGGAGTATGTTGCTAAGAGGCCCAAGGATATTTTGACTTTTAGCCAAGAAACTGGCTACTTTTCTTTGGGTCTTTTTACCCTATCTGCCTAGCCAATTCCTACCTCCTATTCTTATCACACCATCCTCTGAAGGGGTTACTCAAGT